AGAACAAAAATATCATTTTGGAAATGTCATGATTTTAAAGCTTATGTAAGTATTTTTGTACGCAATGCCTCTCATGTTTGGGTGTGTTTTTTTTTCTTAACACATACATTTGACAGGGAGGAAAATCTTCACTATAGGGGGTAACTTCTTCCCTAAAAGTACTGTGGAGCTGCTGACCATACAAAAATGTGTGTTTTCAAAGCAACGCAAGAACTGAGGCGGTTAGAGGTGATCTGGCTTTTGACATCTTCTAATGCCAGAGGGGGGAGACGGCGTCAAAGCCTGCAAGAATCTAGAGGAGAGTCAGAATTTTTTCTCAGGAGACCAGAATACAAAGGCAAGGTCACAAAGTCACACAACACACAGTGGAGAATTTTTCTGAGGTGCAGTACAGGGAAGTACCAGTGAAAGGGACCCTGCAAGCCAAAACAAGACATTTCTGAAAGATGTCTGCAATTTTTAGACAGACCATACAGAGCAATGAGTACAGCTGGATTTGAACTCCAGTGACACCAGCTTTTCTTTTTGCAATTTTCTTTTTGCCAGAGGAACCTTTGGCAAAGAGAATGTTTCTCCAGAAGAAAGATACTGTGGTTGGCTTCTTGACAGCAAATTTCTATAAATCTTAGTGAAGGAGACTCACTTTAATTTGACTACATAGAATTACTCAGAGACCTTCCTTCTTTTCTTTTCTTGTGTCCTGAGCTGACATTAGTATATGGCCCCAAAATCCTGTGCAACTGCAGATACTTCCCCATACTCAATTTCTGCACAGGAAAAAAGAATCTATTTGCTGTTTGAAAGAAACACATGTACACACGTAAATGATCATATATGCCTTGTAAAGAACAACAAAGAGGGGTGTCCTTTGTGATTGTCATTCATGCTGGGTTTTGTTTATACCTCTAAAAGACAAAAAGAAATCAAATTATTACGAAAACTGAAAAATGTTTTCCGGTGGCCCAGTTTCATAAAGCTAGATATGAAAAAGTAATTATAAAAATGTATCCATTAGATTACAAGATGAAAAAATCTGGTTAGTTAGTATGACAGCTAGCTATTTTGCTTACAGAAAGTAAAAAGCAGTATTTAGTTGTTAATGTACATGTTTATGGCCATGAGTTGTTATAGCTTGATCTTTTTTAAGAACATACAGATTTGCTACCAACCTATTTTGGGCAGGATGCTATCCTGTTCTTTTAGGACTTGTTTTTCTCTTATTCCAATGGCTGATTAATTCTTGATTGCTTTTTTCCATCTCTGTGTCTGTCTCTCTGCGCATTTTTGTTTTGTTTTCTTGAATGGAAAAAACCTCAAAACCCTAAGCAGAGTTACAGCATCCATTTGGACTCGAATACATAGTTAAAAGTTTTAGAAAGAGAAAAATTGATTTATTTTTTTTTTTACAATGCTGTAATCAAGGGGAAAAAAACTGCAACGAAAAGCAGCTGCAGCACAAAGAAGCAAAGCGCAAAGAGCAAGAGACACATTTTCGCTGTTACTGTTTTTTATTTCATGTGAGGATAATAATAGGTCATACCTAGATGATACTGAAACATGGTCCAGGGAACAGGAAGACATTTAATTAGTGAAAAAAAGGCCTCTGGCAATTTAATTGACACACAGGTCTGTTTTCTAAAAGCCTGTTCAGACCCTCTTATTCTCAGGAAAGCCTTCGGACAGAGCCTGGTGTGTTCAGATTGCAATAGGTTAATAACGATACTGAGAAAGACTAGCACTTTGCTGAAGATAATTATGCATTAGCTAAAAGAGGGGATTGTTTCATCCCATTAAAATGAACTCCGTGTAGCAGAGCATTATCGCTCCACTCTTCTGAAAGTAAACATTTTGGCATTCACAATGTTAGCTGTCAGCTGTGGATAGTGGGAAGAGCAGAGAAAAGCCAGAGCCCAACATCAGCCCTGGATGGAGTACATTTCAGCTCTTCATTCCAGTGATGGGCAAAGATGACAGCGTGGTTCTGCTGTGTTGGATGACCTGAGGTTCAGATACCACCAAGCCTCTTGTGCTCAGCTGAGCAAAGGTTGTTAGGCTGCTCCTGCACTTCCATTTTTGATGGAGTTCTGCAGGAAGACATGTGAACCTACACAGGATAAACATGTCAAAGTCTGGGAGGGCAATAGAGTCTTCCGAAAGTCATCTCCACTGGTAGTCTGTTAATGAGGAACAGCTTTCACTCCTGTTTGCTCTCACACCAAAGCTCATACACAGAAGAACTTAGGAGAGTTTCCTTTCCTTATGCACCAAAACAGAGACCACTGGGGGAACTGGGTGCCAAATTAGCTATTAAACACCTTAATGTTTTTGTAGGTCTATTCCAAGGTTAAATTCTCCATAGAATTCACAGACTTTCCTTAAACTTTTAGTGGCAATAAAATTACATACACGCACATCAGAATCCAGAACACTTGCTGCCAGACAGGCTTCTCAGGCAAGCTACATCTTAGTTTCACTACATGGTGGTCCAAGTAGCGATGTACCTTTCAGAGAAAGCAAGCTTGCACATTGGGGTTTTTTGTCTCCTTGCCATTGCTGCTGCTTTGTTCAAGCCATAGCTGTTCTTCTATGGGTTGTCTTCCTAATGTCCCAGCCTGGTCCTTTTGTGCACGTGCAAGGATAGTGTCAGGAGCTGCAAATCACCTGCAGCCATTGCCCTTAGGTGTGAGATCAAGCACGTCCTGATGAGAGATTCCCAGGCAGCAGGGCTCTGGGACAACATTGGTCTGATGGCTGGTTTTTCGGTAATAAAGTGAGAAGTTCCAGTGGCACAGGCAGTCCTTCCACTGACCTTGTGAGCTTTGGCTCTGGCCCACAGAGCCAGATTTATGTGGTGGTGTGAAAGCATTTTGGTTCTGTATCTGATAGGAGAGCCTGACAGCTTAATTATGCTGTGATAGGAGTAAAACCCCTAAAACTAAAATGTTTTGTCCTGTGTGTTATGACTGTGACAAAAATACTTACTTATGACCAAATTAGTTTGGTGAGGCAGATATAAATCAAGCTCCATCTAGTCTTCACACCTATCAAAATTAGGACATTAAAGATGGGTTGAGCTACTACACTAGCAAAACAAGATTATCCTTTCTCCCTGCAATATCCTTAAAATCTTGACAGCAATTTCAATGGGACAAGTAATTTTTCTCTCCATATCAGCATGACCCCCTGGGAAACAGTGGAAGGTACATCATATGCCAATTGAAAGTGGAATGAAAAAAATAATTTATAAATACAAGGCACTACAACATTTAATCGTGTTTAATACATGGACAGTTAAACACCGGCTCTGAGGATTCCTTTGACTTTTTTTTTCCTGTTGATGTCTCTTTAGTCATTGTCTCAATCTCTTCATGAAATGGGGAGGGTGCCTTGGCTTTTGGTTATAATTTTGAGGTAACACAAGGATTTATACTCAATGTGATGACTCTGCTGTTACTGCCAGCAGTGCAGCAGCCCTTGAAACCTGTCTTCAGTCATTCCCCCACATTTTGGGGAACACTGTAGTTAGTGAAGAGGGCAAAAGTCTCATCACTCCTTTGCTTTTTTTTTTTTTCCACAACAATGCATAAACACTTAGAGAAGGATGAAGTTAGGATGTGGTGCTGTGCAGTAAAAATTTCCTTGGCTCTGCCTAGCAAAAGACACCTGTGGTGACCATGTGGGCAGAACTGTTTATAGATATACCAGGTTCTCAGCTTCTCCAGTGGTGAAATGGGCACCAGCTTGACACAGCCTCGCCACTCTTGAGTGATACTTTATTGCTATAATTTAGCATAGACGAGGAAAAAGAGGTTTTACATTGGTAGCTAGTACCTGTTGCATCCAGTGGGAGTCATACACCCCACTACTGTGGATGGACTCCTACATGCTTACAAGAGTTTTCATGAAGCTGTTCAGAGTCAAAGTGGCTCACCGAATAAATATGCGCTTGCCTTAAATAAATATACATTTGCCTTTCATTCAAAGCACCCAGAGCATTTACACTTTTATATGAGCATTTACAGAGGAAACAGCACTAGCCCTGTAATTGTCCACATCAAAATCTGTTTATTTAGAGAAGCTGATTATTATTCAGCTGGAGTCCCTAACAGTGATGTAGCAGAGAATTGCCATAGTATTTGTACTGTTGAATTAACAATCAAAGAACAGCCATCACTAGCATTATTGTTTATTGCTGTTCCAATGCACCAGGGCTGGCTTGTTTACAGGCACTGTAACTAAAGAGCCAGAATTCTCTTTTATTTTCTACTAAGTGAGCCTGCGGGGAAAAGCACCTCTTCCAGTGCCTCAGAAAGCTTGGGGAGGGCATCGTGGTCATTAGTTGTTACAGGTGAGGTAATTGAAAGCACTTATTTCTCCAGACTCTCCCTCTGGTCTTGTGGTACTTTTTCTTTTAGAAATACCTACATTTATCAGTACTGTATATAAGCTTTTGACTGTAGGAGTAGTGTCCTATAGTTCACTGGAATATGAAAAATATTTTATATTCTGTGAATAATAGATGACTCCAAGCACACAACATAAAACGGTGTGGGTGTTTATGAGCCATTTATAAGCAATTTATTATTGATCAGGAAGGGAGGGTGTGATTACCCATTTATTAAAATCCGTGAATCCTGTTCTAATCTTTTCTAAAGGCTGTTAAAGGCTCGGTTAGAAATCAGGTGTGAGCCCCTGGCCTTTCAGCAGTGGGCTGCCTGGCCGACAGCTGATATCGTCACACCAAATTCTTGGCAGCCTCAGGATGCTCCGGAGCATTGTTGACCTGTCCTGCAGCCAAACATGTAGCTAGTAGCTCTGGTTTTAGTTACCCGTTCCAGCTGCTCTTAGCAGTGATGATTTTACTTTGGCACCTCTCAATTCGTATCGATTTCACGTGGTGCTTTCCTTTGAGAACTGCCACTCTCTGTTTCTTTGGTTCACTCCCTGGCTAAATCTTTTTCTTCCCCCTTTTCTGTGTTTCCCGCTCCTCTTCCCCTCAGGGTGAATGCTCACGGAAGTGCTATGACATCTTTGTGCTGGAGACGGTGTGCGTGGCATGGTTTTCATTTGAGTTCCTGCTGCGATCCATCCAGGCAGAGAACAAGTGTGCTTTCCTGAAAACCCCGCTCAACATCATCGACATCCTGGCCATCTTGCCTTTCTATATCTCTCTCATTGTGGATATGGTCTCCACGAAAAACAGCAGCAAGCCCAGTGGGGGAGCTGGGAACAAGTACCTGGAACGAGTGGGCCTGGTGCTGCGCTTCCTGCGGGCTCTGCGCATCCTATACGTGATGAGGTTGGCACGGCACTCGCTGGGGCTGCAGACGCTCGGGCTCACTGTGCGCCGGTGCACCAGGGAGTTCGGGCTCCTCCTGCTCTTCCTTTGTGTCGCCATGGCCCTCTTCTCACCGCTGGTGTACTTGGCTGAGAGCGAACTGGGAGCCAAGCAAGAATTCACAAGTGTCCCCACCAGTTACTGGTGGGCTGTGATCTCCATGACAACTGTTGGCTATGGCGACATGGTGCCTCGTAGCATCCCCGGACAGGTGGTAGCCCTGAGCAGTATCTTGAGTGGGATTTTGCTGATGGCTTTCCCAGTCACGTCCATCTTTCATACCTTTTCCCGTTCCTACAGTGAGCTGAAGGAGCAGCAGCAACGAGCAGCAAGCAGGCAGATGCGCCAGCTAGAAGAGAGCACCAAACTCCCAGGTGGTGACAGAACACAGGGGTTTGGTGTCACATTCCCACCAGATGCTGCTGGGCAGGAAGGTCAGCCCGTGGTTGACCAGGAAGCCAAGAGAAGCTGTTGACTCTCAACAGCTGAAGACATATGTTGGCAGCACAAGAAGCGGTGGACAAGGAGGGGCAGTTCTGCAAGAAGAACTTCCTGAACTGCGCAAATGAGGGACAGACACACACAAGGTTGTCGCTAAAGACCAACTTTTGATCTAAGGGCCCTCTGAAAAGTGCCCCTAGAAACTCTGCCAAATACAGCTCCGCTCCATCGCTTTTCATAGGGCTTTTATTTTCTATTGAACAAGTATTTTTGGCAACCCCCAAGGAGCAGCCCTTGAACGTAGCCAGTCAGGAGAACATAACGTGAAGCAGAGCCTGTGCTGGGGTGCCATTCGGCGGAGCAGCCAGCGTGCCACCTCCTCCCTGCTCGGGGATACTCCACGTGCAAAGGGCTGCACGAGGGGACTCCCTGTGCTGCAGCGCCCCACGCACAGGGGGTTTGTTACAGCAGCTCTGCCAAGGAACACAAACCTCAGACGAGCCAAGGTGTGAAGGCAAGAGAAGGGCAGAAACGTCACTTCAGCTTTCCCAGGGGCTTGGTTTTGTCTGTTTTACAGATCAGGCAGCACAGCCTGGGCTGCCAGCTGCCAGCTTTGACTTGTGCGCTAGCGCAGTATGCATTATTTAGTAAATATGTGTATTTACCACCCTAAGCTTTGTATCTTGGCCCCATGACAGACATATACATAGACAATCTTCCTGACTATGGTACTGAATGTTAACTTGTTTTTTTTTCCTTTGCTAACAGTTGAATATAACAAATATCTTTACAAATCACGCCATTTCTCCACTTTCTGTTTACTATTTCCATCTCTCATGTATCAAAAAATATGTGTTCAACAGACAACTAAACCTGAACTACAATCAGCCCAAGAAGGGGAGCATGATGTTTAACCAGCAGTGACTCCCAGCTCTGCATACTCTGCATCCTCAGCGGTGGTGGCTGCGTTGACTGCAGTCACGCGCAAAGAGGAGTAGTCCAAACCTGGTGAAGTCAATGAGATGCCTCCAGTGGGCTCCTCTGGCCTGAGCTGCAGCATAGCAGCTGTGCTCTACATGAGGAGCAGTCTTTTTTTTTTTTTTTCTTTTCCTACTAAGAAAAAGACAATCCCGTCATCTAAAAATTAGAATTATCGTTCTGGCTCTTCTTCCTAATTCTCAAGAGATTTAAGTCAATTTAAAAGGAAAATGAATCATATGGTGGTGTCAGCGTGTTTGTTTACTGATGCCAGCCCCAGCAGCTCTCCAGCCCCCTCCCTGCAGGACCTGTGTAGCTGGTCCAAGTCAAAGTGTTGTGTGGGTCTTTCAGTGCTCCTACAGGTAGGATACGATCCGGGAGTGGAGGGAAATGCAGTACAACTGCCACTTCTACCTATGACCCCATTTGTATTAAAGCCATGCAGTGTCGCCCTCCATATTCTCCTCCTGCCAGAAAGGGAACAAAAGCTGATGCATTGAAGATGGGATTTGTCTGGTTTGGGTTTTTTTTTTTTGCCTCAGCATATGTTGTAACACCAATCCTATATTAGCAAACTCCCATATCAAGCCATTCCTTATGGGAATGGAGCAAGGGAAAATAAAACGTTACACTTTATTTTAATAAAAACTAGAAGCTTTGTTGCTGAATGCTCGCCTCTGATGATTTGGGTGTGGGGGGGAGGCAGTGTTTCGCCATGCTGATGGGAATCTATACATGCGGGTGCTCCAGCCAGGGTCCCATGCCACTGGCCCTCTCTGGCCCATAGCAGCCCTGATCCTGCTCCTTTGCAGCCATAGCCAGGCCAGACAGTGCCAAGGAGCGCAGCGAGGTCACCGGGCAAGGTTACACAGCTCGGAGCAGCAGGTGTGTTACACACACAGGTCGCTGGTGAGTGCTGCAAGAGGTGGAGGCAGCAAAACTGAGCACCCCTACCCTGTAAGCTGCGCCTGGGTCTCCAAACCCCCAGCTGTAGTGAACTACAAGCAAACCGAATGCAGCTGTGTGTGCCGCCGCTCTGCCCGTCATTCACAGCCCACCAAAACTGAACACAGCCCCGTGTGCCAGGGCTCTGCCTGTCATTCACAGCCCACCAAAACCGAACACAGCCCCGTGTGCCAGGGCTCTGCCTGTCATTCACAGCCCACCACCACCAGGAGCGCATCCGCTCCTTGTGCCAGGCGAGGAGGGCCAGGGGCTGGTGGATGGTGCCTGGGCTGACTCAGACTCCTGGCAAAGCAATACCAGCACTAGGTTGCTGTGACTCACGAGAGATTTTAATTTTATTATTTTTTTTAATCCTGATGCAGACATTTCTTACACTAAGGCTTATTAAGGTTTGGCATCAGGGATACAGCTTTGCAGCCGGCTAAATGCAAACCAGCAAAGCGAGGAGTGTGTGGCGGCAAAGCGTGGCGCGGTGCTGAGGGGCAGCAGTGGCATTCAGGTGCTCAGTCTTCAGGTAGCACCCAACAGATTCACCAGGTGAACTCACAAGTTCACCTTTCAGGGTATTTCGGTTGGTGCACACCAGGTGCTGTTTAGCGCTACACTTCTGGTGTGAATGCAGTGATCGTGCATGGAGGGTGCACAGTACACGTCCTCAAGGTGGTGAGGCCCACAAATGATCATCAGCATAGGCTTACTCTTAGAAGAGCTGTGTTGGAGTAGACATCCTTGCAGAATGAAGAGTGTCACGCTTGCAGTGCTAGCGAATAACCATGAATGAATGCCGCTTTTGGCACCATAGCATGAAAAAACCAGCAATGGGATAGTTAACTGCAGCCCAGCAGCCGTGTAGGAAAACAGACTGATGACACACACCATATTATTGCTGTGCTCCATCAAGTTCCTATTGTCCTATAATAGTGAGTTCTTTATATTTTTCAGAAAGGCACATAATTAATTCTAGCACGCACAGAGTTTTAATAAAGTGACAAAACCCACTCGTTATGTCTGTTAGTCAAGGCCTGGCTTTTAATAAAGTTTCATTTTATCTGTTGAGATGACAGATGAGGAAACAAATATAAACCAGGAACCTTTTAAACAAATTATTTTTGGAAGCTGTATAAAGTTGCAATGCACACATTGCCAGACATAAGAGATACCCAGAGGAGAGTGAGTTTCACCCAGCGTAGCTGTTGTTACGGGTGATGCTTTTTACTTTTGATCAGTCACTGGAGAAGTGTTGGTTTTGTTGTGTATGGTTGTTGTTGTTTTTTTCTTTGACACAGCACACACATGATTTAAGGCCATTTATCTCTAACTATAATAAATGCTACACTGATGCATGCATGTTGGTGCCAGCAGGTAGTTGGTTTCGCCCCAAGGAAAAAAAATTCTTCTCTCCTATGGGACAGAGACTCACAATGCACGTGAGCAAAGCTACCTCTTCTGCACAGCCATCTCGGTGGCAGCGCCCATGGGCCTGGGCATACAAATTCTGGCAGTTGGCAACAACAATCATCTGAAAACCGTAACTATGTTTGAGAGCTAAGGATGCAGTAACCGGTAAGGAGACAGAGTTAAGAGGGAATGGCACAAAGTCAAACACAACTCCTTCCGCTCATACAGCACACGTGCGCAACCATCTCCTACCTCATAGCAACCTCGATTAAGAAAAAGCACTAATCATAAGAAAAACACGACAGTGGTATCATCCCCTCAGCAGTAAGCCAGACAGAGGTTGCTGTCTCACACTGATGAGGCCAGAACGGGCATGGTCTGTGGCAGCCTCACAGCAGATGCTTCATGGGGGCAAAGTATCCTTGGCTCTCACAGGGCTTGGCGCCTACAAGCTACAGCCTTAGAAGAGCATGGAGCCTTGGGGCCCCGCTCCTTGGGGTGGAAGAGGAAAGAGGCGGATGGAGGAGCTGATGGGTAGAGCAATCCGGCATGGTTCTGCCGGCCCATCTGAGGCTGAGCAAAGCGCCTTAGTCACCCAGCACGGCTAAGCCAGCACCTACAAGAGCAAAATCCCTGTAAACTGGGACACATAAGGGGCCGGATCAGGGTCTGAAGTCCTGTGTCTGTCTGTGTGTGCTGTCTGGGCATTTCCAGATTCTGATGTCCGCTTGGGGCCTGTCTGCTTTACAAGGCTGTTTACAGGGAGATCTGCCCCTGCTCCAGGGTGCACCTCATATTTTGTTCTAGTCCATGCCTCTCATTTACTGCTGTTGGCACAGGTATCCAGGCAGCGTGTTTATTTATTGGCATATTGTTGACTTAGACATTAACATCTTCTTTCTGTTACAGAAAGCCACCAACAAAGCTACAGCTATCAGTCAGGTCCTTGAAGCCTTCTTGGCACACAAGCCTAAGCTAAGGATCACAACCAAATTTTACAAACAGCACCTGTGGGCCAACTTTTGCTTTACTACCCAGTGCCGAATTTGAGCTTTGCCTGTTGTCTTAAATGTTTTAATTGCATCTAACTACTAACACATGCACCCAAACATCTAACCATGAAATCTCTGTCTCTGTGGAGCTGCAGCACAGAGCACTGCCTGCCCTGCACAGCCGAGGGACAGCTTTGCCCTGAGGCCAGGACCAGCGCTGCACCAGGACAAGGGCCCTGCCGCTGCCCTGGCTGCTGCAGCCTCCAGAGGTGGCTGTGAGAGCTCCCCTTTACTTAAGGGGCTCCCTGGTGTTTCATTTAGGGCCAGTCCCACTGTGGAATCACAGAATAGTCAGGGTTGGAAGGGACCTCTGTAGATCATCTAGTCCAACCCCCCCGCCAGAGCAGAGTCACGTACAACAGGTTGCACAGGACGGCGTCCAGGCAGGTTTTGAATGTCTCCAGAGTGGGAGACTCCACAACCTCTCTGGGCAGCCTGTGCCAGTTCTCTGCCACCCTCAAAGTAAAGAAGTTCCTCCTCATGTTTAGCTGCAACTTCCTACATTCAAGTTTGTGCCTGTTACCTCTTGTCCTATCACTGCACACCACTGAAAAAAGACTGTTTCCATCCCCCTGGCACCCTCCCTTTAAGTATTTACAAGTATTGATAAGATCCCCCCTCAGTCTTCTTTTCTCTAGACTAAAAAGACCCAAGTCCCTCAGCCTTTCCTCGTAAGAAAGATGCTCCAACCCCCTAATCATCTTCGTAGCCTCGACCTGCTGGCCACACTCTTCTTGATGCACCCCAGGTTGCCATTCGCCTTCTTGGCCGCCAGGGCACATTGCTGGCTCATGGTCATCCTGTTGTCCACCAGGACTCCCAGGTCCCTTTCCACAGAGCTGCTCTCCAGGAGGTCAGCCCCCAACCTGTACTGGTGCATGGGGTTATTCCTCCCCAGATGCAGTACCCTACACTTGCCCTTGCTGAATTTCATAAGGTTCCTCTCCGCCCAGCTCTCCAGCCTGTCCAGGTCATGCTGTATGGTGGCACAGCCTTCCAGCATGTCAGTCACTCCTCCCAGTTTTGTGTCATCAGCAAACTTGCTGATGGTACAGTCTATCACTTCATCCAGAGGGAGCTTCTCCATTAGCTCCCCTTCAGTGTGTGCCAGAGCAGCGGCCAGTAACACCAGTCCTGTTTGGGACAGATGGTGCAAACAGTATGGGTAATAAGCAGGCTCAGCTGTTGTGGGAACTGCTTGGGCCATTGCCCTCCACTGCCTGCAGACTGTAACAGAGCAGGCAGGTTTTACTCCCCACCCTCATTTTCCTCTTCCTTTACCCCCATTTCACTGTCTTACCTACCTTTCCCCTTCCAGGTCTTAGTTTTCTTTCATTCTCCCCCCTCCAAGATTATCTTCCTTCAGCCCCTTATTTGAGTAAGCTCAGTCTCTCCCACCTCTCTCCTCCTGCCCTTCCCAACTCTCCCTCCTGTGCCCCCAGCCCTCTCTCCTCACTGACTCCCCTTCTCCAGCTTCCACAGCCACTGCACACGACAACAACAAACCATCTCCCCATGCTGGAGCAGCTGAATGGCCTGCAACAGCAGCCCAGCAGGGCCCAGGAGCCACGCATTGGCCACAAGGCTAGTCCTGACTGTCTTGGCTTGTTTTCAGGTCCTGAATCAACAGGGAGGGAGGTCAAAACTCCTCTTGGCACAGCAGTTGCCCATGAGATGACACACTCAGTTTCCTCATCTTCCATGCAGAGGCTGCGAAGACCATGTCTCTCAGCTGTGTCCTGTCTTTGACCTCATTATGCAGTTTGCACAGTACAGGGTTGGGTTTTTTTAAAGCTACATAATAATCTGCTAGTAATTTGGGTTTACTGTGAGCATCACAAGGATAAAAGAGTTAACTGGTCATGAGTGTAAGTTTATCCCAGGACGTACAGAAAAGCAGGGGAAAGAAATCCAGAATTCCTGTCATGCATCACGACCTCAGGACTATTTATGCCTTGTGCTTACCCACCCATCAGGAGGAAAAAGCATGCTAATTATTCCTACAGACAACACTCTAGACAAGATGAGTTATATAAGAGTCAAGAAGCATACATCTTATATCTGAACAAAACAAAGCAACACTACAATTTATATATAATAGGTAATTTTATTTAAAAAAAAATTGCAACTGACAGAGAAAATAAACTCCATGAAATGTGCCATACATTCAGAGAGATGTATTTAAAGTAATTGATTTCTAATTCTCTGAGGTGATCATTGATACAGATAATTCCTGGCAATTAAAGAACAAAAACAAAGTTCTGTAACATTTTGTCCTTAAAGTACCTTGCAAGATGAAGTTCAAGAGTTCCTGGCCAAGAGTCCTACCTTGCTAAATGCCACATGCAGAAGGTGACTTAAGACATGGTTTCACTGGCTTCTCTCCCAGCATTTGCAGCTCTGATGTGAATGAGACTGGTCTGCAGAGCTCGCTGCTTTGGGTACTGATGACAGACTCAAGAATCTGCCCAGGGAAGAGTCCCAAAAGGAAAAAAACAACAGTTGTTTTATCCTCAGTAATACCTGTATTTCAAAGCCAAAGAGGTGGCCAAAAGCGTGCACTCCCAGGTGAAGCTATAACATACAGAAGCATATTTTTTAAGAGTCATTTATTTCTTATATCCCCGTTTCATAGAATATTAGAAAAAGACCCACCATATACAAAAATCTTATCATTACAAGTTATTAAAAAAAAAAAAACTTCAGACCATTAAAACACACAAGAAAGTGTTTGTTTGCATACAGTAGAAATACAATCCTCATTAAAGCAGCATACCGGAGAAGCCAGTTGTTAAGTAAGTTTTCAATTAAAAAAGACAAAAGCCCAGATGTTCCTGTAACACAACCAGAACATTGGAGAAAAGAGGGGAACAAAACATTCATAGTCTGCCATGCCGGGTACATCATCTTTGTAAGGTCACTTCAGGCCTAAAAGAGTATGGTATCAAACAAAGAGCATGGAGTCAGTGGCCGGGCAGAGCGTTCTGTGCCCAGCCCTCGGAAACAGCAGCTCTCCTTGGCTCTGCTTTACTCACATAGATCCGACTGGATCTACCGGGGTCAGAGGGACTTCCTGAGGATGCCCCTCCTACCACCTCCAGCAGTGCCGCACCAAAGGGCAAGACAGCTTGGACCCAAGGCAGGACTTCTACCCGCAAGTTTGGGCCTCAGCCCTCTGCCACCAACATGTCAGCTTCAAAACCAAATGGCACGTGCAGTGGGAGCCCTGATGTCAGCCTGGGGCTACCTGGGGAGCGAGGGGCACAAGTCTGTAAAGCAGCACAGGGACTGCCGACTCTTCCCTGTCTTATGACGGACATTCCCAACCGAGCATCATGCAACCACTGCTGCAGCCTGCTGACACTTCCCCTCCAGAAGACAGTCTGCCACCAGTGGAGACAGTCCAGACTTAAATCATGAGGTTCCCAAATGGAACAGGGTAGGGGAAGTATCCGATTTACACACTGAAGTTATTAAGCCTCAGACTTGCTGCTACCGGTAAAAAAACATAAGCTCTCGGGCTAATCTTGGAGAAAAAATGGTTCTCAAAAACCTGTCCCAGCTCTAACACCTTGCCTGTGGTCAGACAGGATTGACCCAGCAGCAGGGAGGTAGCCCCACGAAGAAGAAAGCAGCGCAGGCATAGCTGTTCCTGGGACTAAGTGTCTTGCTATGGTTGCCTCATACCAAGCAGGGTAGCTTCATGACAGCAACTGGCAGAAGCCCAGGGGCTTGGTCACAGCCTGCTGTGGGTCCAACACCACCTGCAGCTGCTAGACACGGTGCAGTTGTCAGAAAGGGCATGGTGACCTACGCTGGCAAACAGCCGTTATAGACAACATCTACATTTTTAAATAAACTCTCTGCTCTTTCAGCCTTCTCAGTCCCTCTCTGTAAGTACAGGCTGCTGATTCTTCTAAGAGCCTACAAGATCTTAAGCAACAGAAAAAGGGAAACATAGACTCCTTCTTTGTTGGGTCAATGCAAGAAACACCCCAAAACATAAACTGGTTCTTGTTTGGCATTAAACAACATGAACGTGAATCTCAGCCTCAACAAATCAAGCTGTCAGATGCTAGTCCTACTCCATAGGATATGGCTTTTTCTCTGTCTCAAACTTTTTCACTTCCCCTTCTGAGGAAATGGAAGTGGAGTTGCTTCTATCTTTGTGGCTCCATTGCCATCTAGAAATACTTGCCTGGCAATACTGGCAACACACATCTGCTGGCCCCTTGGTTTGTGAAAGATGTCCTACAGCCCAGCCTTGTCCTGTGCACAGGTGCAGGAGCAGTGCTGCCCCTTGAGTGCAGGGCGGGCTGTTCTCAAACCCCGTTGTTTCAAAGCAGGACTACCTAAGTTACCTGCAGTCTCCTGTGAGCTCCTCCTTTTGGCTGACGGCTTGACGGGTTGTGCCTGCTCTAAACATGGCTCCAGCATCGTTCATACTCAGACGCCCTTCATCATCTTGATGTGTCCGCCTGCCACACTGATCCCCCAGCAGGGGTGAACACCTGCCGTTCACTCTTTAGCACACTGATGCTTTACACCGTGTACGACTCGTTCATTTCTGGCTGCTCACCTCTTTGCAGGGCCTCCTGCCCTCACCTTCTCCGCTCACCAGACACCTCTCTTAAAGAAAAGAGAAAGCTCCTGCATTTGCTCCTGAATACTTCTTCCTACACCGTGGAGATACTGAATGCTAGCATATGCCACCAACTTCCTGCCAATATACAGACTTTATATTATATAAATAGGTAAAAGTTTCAGACAAAATATCCTATAATTTCTGTGGTGTAACATTTTTAAATAGCATTAAAAACACAAACCATCCAGCCCTTGTGATTAAATATACAAACATTTGTGAATTTATAAGGCTCATAGGTACATATGCAAAAATAAAGTGCCCCTCCCCCCACCAAGAAACAGTTCTGTACAGCCAAGTCTGAAAACAGAGAGAGCAAGTTATTTAAAATAAAACCTCCCGAGCTGGAAGTGCAGCCAGATTTTCAATCCTTGTTCTCATTTCTGCTTTCAACTCAGCAACACAGGAGTATTTACAAGCGGAAGACGAGCTGCCATGGCTGACTCCGCAGCGCTGTTGACCTGCAACCTGTCCAGCTCAGTGCCTCACAGGGCCTTGGTGCTGGCTGGGTGCGCAGTGTGGGACACGGGCTTCTGAGGGTAGTAGCTGTACAAGTAAACCTGCAACAGGATAGCGATGTCCACAAAAACTTGCAGGAGTCCACAGATGGAGAACTGGAAAGGGGCCTGATTCAAGATGAAGTAAACAGTCTTGAATGTGTCCCCACTGGTCCACATCAGCACCATCTTGACACTAAAAGACAGAAAAGAAGGGAAGAGTATTTATTGAGAAGAACTTGGCTTGTGATTAGACCTGCCGTGCCAGAGGATCCCACCTACTTCAGCGAGGGTTTACATTCAACAGTGGGTTGGGACTCCCCTTAATGAGGGCAGACAGCGTGCCTAGCCAAGACGTGCAGCGCTGTACTTGGGAGGATCAAATTCTCTAACCCACAAACTGCAGCACTCTTATCTCAGCAATGACAGCTCCAAATGCTTGTGGCTATGAAGGTATCCAAGATTTTAAAATACCCATCTAGGATATTTGACTCAGCAGTGCTCTGTATACATGACTGCCACGTGCTGACAGCATAAACCAAAGTAACACAGTGCATAGAAAACAAAGGCAATTCATCCCAGCAACTACTTATTGTGTGCGCCATTTTGTGCTCACGCAAGGTGAAGTAACACAGACTGCTCTCTCATGCTTGCACACTTTTTTAACATCTGCTGAAACAAACACTTCTGATAGATACAAGAAACCATTTCTTATTGCAGAAAATGCAAAACCAAAAAACCAGAAAGATTGTCCAGTAATACAGAAAGAGGGGAAACGCCATGCCTGCAGCTGTTACTGGAAGGATGAACATCACTAGGGATTTTTATCAAGGACACAGATCAAGAGCAATGCTCAGATTTCCTTTTAATAGTCATCCTTGCTTTCATCTTGCTGTACTGCTGAGCCATCCCCTGTCCTGCAGTCCAGCTCCTGCTCCCCCATATCAGGAGAAACTCTGGGGAATATAAGCAAGTTCTTCAAACATACCATTTTTTTTTTTCAGTGCCCTCAACAAAACGTGAACAACCAGATCCTGAAGGCTGCTTCTGAGCTTCGTGCACTTTAACAGGAGAGCTTTTTAAGCAGATGGATAAGCGATAGTGGACAAAAGCTTTGTAGTTCACAGTATGAGCATTGCGCATGATTTGTCATAATTATGAGCAATTACGTTTTTGCCAGCACTGACTCCAGCTCATCAAATGCAGTCAGGCCCATGCAGCAGGGTAGGACTTAATGTTCATTTCTCAAACATTCAGGCAGGGAGCTAGCACAATTTGTATTTTGGACACAAGTACACAATGATATTGCAAGCCAAACGCTGCAGCTCACTCTCTCCCCATATGGGAAGGGTGGCCAAGAGCATCAGTTGATACTGCCCCATCGCACTACAGAAACACAAGCCTTTTTGTAACTCATGTCACATGGCTGAGAGCTACAACCCTATAGACCTTCCAAAGAGAGTCTCTGTGTATGAGTGTGAGCAAGGAAATGGGGTTGAGTAAGCAGCCATTCCCCACCCAAGGTCATTCTAAAAATGTAAATAAATAATCAGAGGAAAAAAAAAAACAAACTGCTGAATCCACAGTGTCATTTGTACTTGGTACAAACAGCCTGCACCACCTGCCTTGTGCCTGTTCCCAGTCACACTGAGTCACCTTGCATCACACAGGAGGTTTACAGATGCAGGTGGCAGTGGGATTGTTTGGGATTTTAATTAGGAAGGGCGATAAACCCAGGGTATTAAACTGGCACCTTGCTTGCAGGTGGGCAACATTCCTCCTCCTCTGCTTTTAAGCTTATCAGTGTTTGCTGGGCAACTGTTCACAATCTAATTGTGAATCTGTCCCGGCATGGTTGGGGACCCTCACTAAAAGCACATGCTAAACCTGGCAGGTCAAACTAACTGCTCGCTGTTGACAGAAAGGCAATTCAGGGATGCCACAAAATATCTGAATAGGAATTTAACATGCAAAGGTTATTTGTCACATATTCCCCATGGAGAAAGCTAGTTTGGTCTTAAAAGTGACCCCACAGCGCAGTGCAGATGTGGAGGAGAAAATACACAGTCAGAAGATGTACAGCCTACAAAAGAGTTTACTCTCCCAAAGAAAGAATAATCACTGAGGGAAACCTTATGGACACGTGCAGTTCAACAGTGCTATAGGAGCCAAGCACTAGAAGCACACCTTTCACTGTGTCACATGCTGTGCTGAGTTTGCCACAGTAATTCTGGGTTTTGCTAGGAAGCCACTTGTGAACTCAATAGCCTGCAATACCGACTGGGTAACTTGGTGCATGCTCCAATAGCCTTTGCATGTTCCAGAGCCCTGCTCTTCAGAAAATCAGAAAGTATATATCCTCCTCTGTCCAGTAGCTTGGACAAAACAGTAAAGAATACTTGGAAATCACCAAGGTCATAAAAATGAAAAATAAAAATATACAAAACACTTGATGTTCCACAAAACCTTAGTACTGTGGCTGCACCAAGGTTCTCAGAGCCCAGGGTTAACGCAAAGCAGTAGCAGCCCTTGGGCTGCTCTTCAGAGGAGAGACTGGGACTGGAAAAAAGGAGCATGGCCAGCACAGACCTAAATGTGCGTGGGGTAACCAAAAAAAGCTTGGCTTTAGAAATGGGGACAGTGTCACGCAAGAAGTGAGAACAGGCAATGAAGAGTCCCACAGGAAAGCTGAGGAGACATGAGAGGAGCAGAGATATTGGTCAGATGAAAAGGGGGTAGGAAAAAGAGGCTGGAGCAAGACAGGGAATGACAGGAACAGAAGAGAACTGGAAACTTGGGACATAAGTCCTTGGAAAGGGCCTGAATTTGGGGTGGGCAGATGGGGGAGTACAGCCTGGGACAAGGGCATTCGGGGTTGTATTGGGTTTGCATGGCAAGTTTCTGGTAGCGGGGAGGGCTACAGGAGTGGCTACAGCAAGAAGCTGCTAGAAGCTTCCCATATGTCCAACAGAGCCAATGCCAGCCGGCTCCCAGACGGACATGCCACTGGCCAAGGCTCAGCTCATCAGCAATGGTGGCAGCACCTCTGTGATAACATATTTAAGAAGGGGAAAAAAACTGCTGTGCGACTACAGCAGCCAGGAGAGAGGAGTGAGAATATGGGAGAAACAACTCTGCAGACACCAAGGTCAGTGAAGAAGGAGGGGAAGGAGGTGCTCCAGGCGCTGGAGCAGAGATTCCGCTGAAGCCCGTGGTGAAGACCATGGTGAGGCAGGCTGTTCCCCTGCAGCCCATGGAGATTAACGGTGGAGCAGATATCCACTTGCAGCCCATGGAGGACCACACACCAGAGCAGGTGGATGCCTGAAGGAGTCTGTGACCTCCTTCCCCTCCTCCAGTGGGGAAGCCCATGCTGGATCAGGCTCATGGCAGGACCTGTGGACCTGTGGAGAGAGGAGCCCACGCTGGAGCAGGTTTGCTAACAGGACTTGTGACCCCACAGGGGACCCACACTGGAACAGTCGGTTCCTGAAGGACTGCACCCTGTAGAAAGGTCACATGGAAAGGACCCACACTGGAGCAGTTCTTGAAGAACTGCAGCCCATGGAAGGAACCATGTTGGAGAACTACGTGGAGGACCGTCTCTCGTGAGAGGGACCCCATGCTGGAGCACTAGAAGAGCATGAGGAGGAAGGAGCGGCCAAGATAACATGTGATGAACTGACCACAACCCCCATTCCCCCTGCCCCTGTGACGCTCAGGGGAGGAGGTTGAGAAATTTGGAGTGAAGTTGAGCCTGGGAAGAAGGGAGGGGTGCGGGGAAGGAGTTTTAAGGTTTGTTCTTATTTCTCATTATCCTACTCTGATTTTGATTGGCAATAAATTAAATTAATTTCCCCAAGTCAAGTCTGTTTTGCCTGTGACGTAATTGATGAGTGATCTCCCTGTCCTTATCTTGACTCATGAGCCTCTTGTTATATTTTTTCTCCCCGATCCAGCTGAGGAGGGGGAGTAATGGAGTGGCTTGGTGGGTACCTGGCATCTAGCCAAGGTCAACCCACCACAAGGGTGAAGCTAGGGAATGAGCAGAAGAGGTGTGTGGTGGCCTAGGACCCCCACCTCATCATTGTAATGTCTGCAAGCATCCCTGAATGCCCCCAGTGCCCTCTCTAATTAAGTACGTCTCACTCCTCCAGTGCCCACCCTAGGGAGGGGAAAAGCTACAACTGCTGTCAGCTCTCCTCCATCTCAACCAGCACACACACAGCCTGAAAGTTTCAGCTTGCCAAGAAACCCCTTGAGTGTCTGTGTGGCATCTCAGGGGGAAACAGAGCTGCCCCTGCCTCCGCATCACAGGCCCATGCTTCAGGAGGCTGGGAGAGGGGCTGAATGACGTTTACACCATCAACATGGCTTCTGTCACATCCTGATTTCCAGACACTCAGGTACTATAATAATAATGGTCCTCCCCCCTTATTTGGGCTGTGCAATTGCCTTGTCCTTGCTGCATACACAGATACCATTCACAATAATGCAACGATGTGTGCATGACTATGCGTGACTGATCGCATGGATACACCATCACTGCTCTCCTACTTCCAGCTATTGTGTTGCTTCAGGATGCCACACGGGATAGAAAAGACAGATTTTGTCCGCAGCTTCTCAACTTCACCCACTCACTTGGGGAAGAGAGGTAATTCTTGTATTTATTCTTACTTTTGGGGTAGAAAAGAAAGAAATCAACCTATCTGCGGCAGATAGCTGCCTCTTACCTGCCCCAAAGGAGAAAAGAGCACTGTCTGTGCAGAAAGGGAGTGCTTTATTGCCCAAAAGAAATGGAGTTTTGAGTTGGTTGTGGGGAAGGAAGAGGAAAAAGAGGAGAGCAAACCCGAGCTGCTCTGCTGTAATCTCCATGTGCTGAATGAAGCTTCAGTCCCTTACTGTAAGACGCGTGAGGCTCATTTTTAACAAGCTACCAATACACAAAAGGGTGCAACCCTCTATTCTCAGCTTTCTTCCCCTGCAGGAGTCCACATGCCACATGATGGAAAATCTGTGGGACCACAGCAACAGCGTGAGTCTCTCAGAGAGCCACATGATGCAGCAGCGGCTCCAATGCAGGCCGCCAATGGTGGCGAACAAGCCCTCCGCGTGGCTCTGCTCCTTTGCAATGCCATGTGCCAGGTGCTGCCAGCCGGCAGATCGCAGCCTGCTGGTGTACGTCCTGGCCCTTGG